GGTCCTGGCAGGGCTCATGGGCGAGTCTGGCCCTGGGAATTCCATCCCGCCCTGTCCCCGCCCCTATCCCCACCCCCCTCCTCTTTACTGCGTAGTTGCGTACTGCCTGGCTGGTAGACACGCTCACGCAGCGTGAGTGTTTCTACTAGCCAAGCAGTACACAACTACGTACTGATACTCATGATAATAATAAAAACGTAATTAGGAAATGCCAGACATTTATATGTCCGGTATTTTCTCAATTTGTTTCCCAAACAGAAAGCTCAAATACCGGACTGTTCGGTTCAAAACCAGACACCTGGCAACCCTATGGAGAGGGCAGGCTCTGGTATGGGGCCAGGGAACAGGGGTTTAGGATGCAGGATGCCCAGGCCTATGATGGGGAAAGAGACCTCTGCCCAGCCCTCTCTTCCTGCAGCAGCACCTGGGCTGGGCATAGAGAGGCTCCTCACCCCACCACAGCAGCTCCAAGGCTGGAGCTGCAGGATAGGTGCTTCTCTTCCAGCCATGGCAGATTAGAGGATGGTTGAAATTGGAGTGGGTGTCTGAGCCCAGCCTCAACAGGTCCAGGCCATGCTTGGATTCAGGCCAGGGAAGGGACACTTGTCCCTGGCTGCAACAGATTGGGGCTGGGTTAGGCTGAGGCTGGGGGCCACTGCAACATGTCAGCGGCCCGCCTCAAGTTGCGAGAGGGGGATGGCAAGTCCTCCAGGGCTGGGTTCCCTGAGCACCTGTGCTGAGTTTTTAATAGGCTGTTGCCCAGCTGTGCAGCCACACAGCTTACAGAGAACATAGTTTTCTTCGATGAAAGAGAGAGCAAACATGGGTTTTCAGTCCCGTTCGTTTGTAGTCCAGTGAAGCCTTGAAGTGGATTCTCCTGAAGATTATCTTTCCAAGCAAAGTTTATTCAATCAGTAAAGGAAGTGACGTGGAATCTGGTGGTGAAGGAGGGTCCATGCTCTTTCTTCCCACCTCTGTTTACTAAAATGCAAATTTGCTTTGTCTCCTGCCATTTCTTCCCCCTATTGTCTCAATTTCCCTGTTTACCACTTATATTTAAATTAAGGTTAAAAAGACATGTTCTGTTGTTTAAGATAGACCTGTTTAACAACCTTTGCTTTTGCAGACTTGTGTGTGATAACTAAAGCAACAATTTAGCCACAGGTGGCTTTAGTAAAATTCATGGACGGGGGAGGTCTGGCGGGAATGCTGCTGGGGTCAGCGGACTATGGCTGCTCCAATCAGCTATCCAAAGATCACTGCTGGGGCTAGAGGACTGTGGTTGTTCTAGCTGGCCACCCAGGGATTGCTGCCTGGGACTGGAGACTGCTGCTGCTCTGGCCAGATGTTGGGCCGAGTGCAGGGCACACTGGTAAGCCCCAGTGTCTACTTGGCATCTTCTTTCACTTCTGAGTCACACCAAATATCAGAAATCATTCAGGTTGCTTCCAGTCCAAGGAGACCAGTCACTTTCCCCAGATCACTTGGTATCTAGTTGTTACACCACAGACAATGCCTGTAGCCAGTCCTGTAATAAAATAGCTAAAGGTTTATTAACAAGGGAAAAGAAATAAGAAAGTTATTTACAGGTTAAATTAAGAAAATATATACACAAAAATGAGTTGCAAATTAAATCCCAAGATTGCTTGAGTTGTAATAATCTGTCAGTTCAAAATGATTTTCAGGACAGACCAAGTGGTAACCTTTATTTTGAGTCTGATTAACTCAGAGTGGTTTTGCTTCTTGCCAAATAAGGCTGCGTCTACATGGCACCCTTAGTTCGAAATACCTTATTTTGTAATTTGGTGCTGTCCACCCAGCGCCAAATTTTGAAATAACTCGCTATTTTGAAATTCCCCTTAATCCTCGTGGAAGTATGAATAAGTCACCTACTATTTCAAAATCTATTTCAAAATAACGGACTGCTTCAATAGATGTTTAATAGCGTTGACATACCCTACAGGTTACCTGAGTGATAAAATCCATTCACTGAAATTAATGTTTGCATATTAGCATAGTTCTTAATTGTGTTTCTTAGGCTTCTGGGCTCGAGAAATAGGCAAAATGATTGGACTGCACCATCCCCTCATACCTGTTCACCATCAATATGTTGTGACATCTACTATCCCTGAAGTGAAAGCTCTGAAAATGGAATTGCCCGTGCTTCGTGACTTAGAAGGATCATATTATCTGAGACAGGAAAGGGATGGGCTTTTATTTGGTCCATATGAAAGTCCGGAGAAAATGAAACTACAGGAGTCATGGGTAACAAATGGAGTGCCACCAGGTAATTTTTAAAAATTACATGTATCTGCAAAGCTTGATAAACTGTAGAAAATAGTTAAAAAATATAAAACGCAGTCGCGTATTTCCCTTTATAATACTTGTGTGAGGAAAAGTGGAAGCTGTTGAAAATGTAATTGAAACGTGCTTTTTTGCATATCTTTCAAAATATGACTGTAGCCTCTGTGAAAGAGTGAACAGAAATAACAAACCGAACACTAAGGTAGACTATTGTATATATGCATAAAATAAATCCATAAAAACAAATGGCTTTGACCAACATTAGGGAAGTCTCTTGCACCTGTCCATCTCCTTCCTGCTTCATTGCTGAGACTTCGTGTCATTAATGATAATAATCATACCTATCTCTTACATAGTGCTTCTCATCAGTAGAACTCAAAATGCTTTGCTACTCTGGGTAATATCTCCATTTTATAGATGGGGAAACAGAGGCACTGATAAATAAATGACTTTCCTTGCTCATCCAAAGGGCCAATGACAGATCCAAGAATAGACTCCAAGACCAGGTCTGCTCTTCAGACCTATGTTGGTTTCTCTGCTTCATGCAGAGGTGTGAAAAATCCACCCATTAAGGGACATAAGCAATGGTCTTAAACTGCAGCAAGGGAGGTTTAGGTTGGACATTAGGAAAAACTTCCTAACTGTCAGGGTGTATTAGGGTGTAACTGGAATAAGTTGCCTAGGGAGGTTGTGGAATGTCCATCTCTGGAGATATTTAAGAGCAATTGGATAGACATTTGTCAGGGATGATCTAGGTGGTGCTTAGTCCTGCCGTGAGAGCAGGGGACTGGACTTGATGATCTCTCGAAGTCCCTTCCAGTTCTATGATTTTATGATAATTATACCAATCTAGCTCCTGATGTAGACAATGCTATGTGGACCGTGCTATGTCTGTGCTTCTCACAGAAGTAGATTAACTATGCCAACAGGAAAAGCTTAACTATCAAGCATAGTAGTGTCACTATATGTGAAGCGCTATATGACCAAAGGCGTAATAGAAGATGAGATCCGTCGATCGACGGCTCAGTCCAAGAAGAAGATATGTGAAGACAATCCCCAAGTCTCCTGTGTCCTAGTACAGAGCCTAAACTACTCAGCTATACTGCTTCCCCTTCGATCAAGAGAAATAAAATAAAAACTGACTGTTAAATCCAATTGCACTCAGTTTATGCTCTTCTTACAGAGAAATGAGGTTTTGTGCATGTAAAAATAGAAAAGATGTTGCTATACAGACTAAGGATGTTAAGAAGTGGGTAATTGACTAATCAGTACTCGATACAATTTGTATCAAGTACATGATTAGTCGATAAGGGGCCCTGCTGTGGCTCTGCAGTTTAGTGTAGTAGGAGCTGGGCCTGCAGGCAGGCCGGCCCTTACTACAGTTAAAAGGCAGAGCCACAGTGGTATAGGTATGGGACCCGGCACACCGGGTCCCTTACTGCTGCTCCTCTGCCTCCTCTACATTCCTCTCTACACCATAGCGCTGGTGCTGGGGGGAACCAGCTTTTAAGCCAGCTCCCCCCAGCACCGGCTGCTTCTTCCTTCTCCCTCCACCTCCCCCGCTCCTTGCTGTCTCTGATACAGAGGCAGCAAGGGGGAGAGGAAGTGAGTAGTCAACTCAACTACCCAATAAGCCTAATACAGACTGATGAATTACATACTGCTATTGCTTATGTATGTATTGAATACCTATATTTTAAACAAATATTTACAGTTGATTATAAATATATAATATTAATCAAATATTTGTGCAGGGTTTGGAAAGGAACTTTTTGAGTCTGATTTAGACAGAATAATGGATCATATTGAGGCTGCAATGGAAATGGTTCCAGTCCTGAAACAAGCAGACATCGTTAACACAGTTGCTGGTCCTATCACATATTCTCCAGACATACTTCCTATGGTGGGACCGCATCAGGGTGTCAGAAATTACTGGGTAGCAATTGGCTTTGGGTGAGTAAATTCATCACACCCATTAACTTTTATCCCACATGTATTAAAGTGAAGCTAATTGAAACTGCATTCAACTTGAACACTGCTGACCTTGTTTTTTTCTAAACATATTGTACACTACTACGTGACTTCAAGTGGCCTCAATGCTCTGACCATGTGCATCTCCTTACACGTACCCATATATTTGTTCCCTCTCCCGCCCATCCTGTGGTTCTTTCTCTCCAGCTCTTTTTCTGTTCTTGCTCCTTTTCTTTTGCAGCATAGAACAGTTAATCTCAAGGCCAATGCCATTGCTGCATTGTGGACCTGCAGGAAATGGGTAGTATTTAAAATATTGTGTGCACTTGTCAGCCCTGTTTCTTAGCATACATCTTTCAGTGTATTTGCGCAAACAACTTTTGGCTGTATTGGGAAAGTCCACACATCAGTTAAACACCCATAGCTGGCCTGGGTCAGCTGGGTAGGCCTCAGGGAGATTGAGCAATGGAGCTGTAACATTGTATGTGCAGACATTTGGGCTTGGACTGGAGCCTGAACTCTGGGCCCCAGTGAGGGGGGAATGTCTTAGAACCAGCTCTAGCCCGATCCCAAACATCTACACAACAATTTTTAACTCTGCAGCCTAAGGCCCATCAGCCCAAATCAGCTGACCCAGGCCAGCTACAGCCATGCCACAGCTCTTTTATTCCAATGTAGATGTACCTATGGTCTCCTCCATGGGCTGCTTTGTGGTTGCAAAGGAGTGTGGCAAGGATGACTGGAACAGAGGAAGCGTAATATATGAGGTGCTCAATGGAATGTTGTGTTTTGTGGAGAGAGTCAGAGAAGTACTAAGCAGAAGGTAAAAGTGTATTGGGAGTGTAGGCTGTTGAGGAAGGGGTGCCAAATGAGAGTGCTGGGGGTGCCAGAGTTTGAAATGATAGATGCTGCAGGTGAGTGTTGTTGGATGTTAGAAGTAAGCGGTGAATACTGGGAGAATGTGCTGTTTGAGCAGATCTGGGTGGTGGTATTCATTCTTTCTTGCTGTGATATCATTTTATTAACATTTTCATTAATCATAGTTTACAACTTATTCAGCCTAAATTCCTTGCTACATTCAGTTATCTCAGCTGATCATAGTTCCAGGATAAATGGATAATTGCCTAATCATCAGATCAGAATCCAGTAAGACCTTATTCTTATTTTCTTCACTTTACAAACACTTATATATAAACCTATATAAGAGATTAAAATGCTTTCCCAGACTCCCAACATGAAATACATTAGTCATTTTGAATTGAATGGTCGATTAAGTAGACTTGTTGTTTGAATTCAAGAGATTTAAAAATGTTACCTTTTAACTGCATGCTTAATATTCTTATTTAAAGCCCTGTCTTCCAGAAAAGACTGTTTTGTTACATTAATTGCGCTGCTTCTCGGCCTTTTTTCTTCTCCCATTGAAGTGACTTCAGTGGGAATAGGATTAAGATCCATATTGGACTGACTGAAGATGATATGCCCTACGGTGCCAAGAGGACTACTCCTTGTTTTTAAAGTTACAGACTAACACAGCGACCCGTCTGAAATGTTCAAACATGTATAGTTAGTAATTCAATGTCTACCTAATGCTCCCGACCAGGGCTTTTCCACCTGAAATGAAAAGAGATTTTTACAGCCATCTTCTGCTCAAACAAATCATTAATTTAAACATAGTTTAAATATTCTCAGGACAGAATAATTGATCCCGGAGGTATTAACAGTCTGGCCTAAAGACAGTGCTAATGTGTGAATGGGTATAAATTAAAACTCTCTTAAACTCGGTTACAGCTTGGTCCAATGTCCATTGAAATCAAAGGGAGTCTTTTCATTGGCTTTGCCTCAGGCCCCTCGACTCCCTTACATGAGACCTACATGGACCCAGCCCATCAGTGTGTAAAGGTGGGTCTGGCCCACGAAAGCTCATCATCTAATAAACCATCTTGTTAGTCTTTAAAGTGCTACATTGTCCTGCATTTTGCTTCAGCTACCCCAGACTAACACGGCTACATCTCTACCACTATTGCACATTGTGAGGCATTCAGAAATTGTAGTGATGGGGGGGCATAGAAGGATCCCCAATAGGTTTCTCCTACCATTTGCCTCTCCTCTATTTAGAGTGGAAGTTCTTTGGGGCAGGGACTGCTCTTGCAATGTATGTGTGTGTGTCCAGGCCCAGCACCACAGGACTTTGGCCATGGTTGGGGACAATGAGTAAGCTATGTATGTAGAGATATTTGTGTGTCTGTCTGTGTGTGTGTGTCTTTCTGTGAGTCTATTTGGGTGTGTCTACACTACCCTCCTAGTTCGAACTAGGAGGGTAGTGTAGACATACCCATAGATGCATGTAGTAAGGTCGTTAAGACTATGTCCAGGTAGATAGAAATGAAAAGCAGCTGGGTTTTTCCTTGTGAAGATGTCTGATGTCTGATTTGTGGGCATTAATTCTTTGGCGAAGTGTCTGAGAAGTCTGTATTCCTATTATAAACGTAATTTAAAAAACTTATTAATTTGTGTAGCTTCTGAATGTTGGGACCCAAGGTTTAATGAGGATATTTATGAAACTGGAGATATTTGTATTTCAGAGGTCATTGACACTCTGTTCTTCTCTACCAGATCCCTAAAGAAGCAGATGTTTGCATGTATGTTGTAATTGTTGTGTACATTGGTAGTCTTTATCTCAAGAGTGCCTAGTCAGAACATTGTGCTTGCAGTATTAGTGAGTGTTTTGTGGTTTCTTTTGTAATCATTTATTATTTGTGAGACACCAACAGGGAACTGGTAATTGAGAGGGGACTAGCAGCCATTAGACAGAGGAAACTGGAGCTGGGTGGCCAAGCAGTCTTAAGACTGGAAACCAGGGAAATGAGGAAAGGGGTAAGGGAAGGGGAATGGAGAAGAGACACATCTGACAAGGAGAGGGGTTTGAGGAGAAAACTGATGCTGGCTGTGCAAAAAGGCCTGCACAAAGTTTTTCTTTGTCTCTGAGGAGGGCAATAAAACTACCAGAATGTTGCTTTTAAACTTTAGGAATTTCGTATAACCTCAAGAGCTCTAAGTGCCTTCTATTAGAGGCAGCTGACTTAGTTGCTGAAAATGGAAATAATAGTGGTTTTGAGGAATTCCTAGACAATACACTGTCAACAGTTAAAGAGAATCTGTGATAACTGACACCTTTGTTGAAAATTATCTGAAATGACTCAGTATTGAAGGATTTGTCTTTGTTTTAAAGATACGGCATTATCCATGCTGGAGGCATAGGAAAGTATCTCAGTGATTGGATCTTAGGTGGGGAGCCGCCTTTTGACCTGATAGAATTAGATCCCAATCGCTATGGAAAATGGACCACCACCCAATATACCGCAGCAAAAGCAAGAGAATCTTATGGATTTAACAACATTGGTAAGAAAACAATTTATAAAGTGTTTAGCTTCTGATTTGTTTTCATATCCTGAGAAATAGGATTTTGCGCTTGTGTAAAACATCTCCTTTCTTTTGTTGTGGATTAATAGAAAGATTAAGACTGGTTCCCCATTGCCTTGCAGCTAGTGTAGTCCCTTAGGCCTAGATGCACAAAAGGAATTAAGTGCCTAAGTTTTCAGGGTAAATGTTCCCTGGATGCCTCACTGTCTGCCTCTGGGCATGTTCACTGTTGCCTCACTCTAAGCATCTGAACACCCATTCCCTGCTTGAGCCCTGGAGTGAGTCACAAATCAGGGAAAGATAGGCATTCAGATGACTGGGTCACATATGGGGCTCAGACCAGTAGGGGCTTCCCTCATAACATTTAGCCCAGGGGTAAGGATACTATCCTGGGATGTGGGAATTCTGGGAGCAGGGGGCAGGGACATTGCAAAGGGAGCATTGGGTCTGGGGTAACTCCCCCCCCCCAGGCACGGGGCCCTGCCCTGCTCTTCCCCCATCCAGCCCCCTTGCTCAATCCTCCAAGCAACATGGCATGGGAGTTTAGAGGGCCTGGTGACAGCAGCAGAGATCGCCCCCACCACTCGCCATGCAGACAGCAGGGGCCAGAATAGCCAGCAGCTTCCTTTGCTGCACCACACTGCCCTCTGACCCACTGCACTCTGTGTCTCCATGGCAGCAGGAAGCAAAGCGCGTTGGGGCCGAGGCTCTCTGCTTCCCACTGCTGCTGAGGAGGAAAGTTCCGGCGCGGGTTCCCTGGCCACTCCTGCTGCAGTGAGTGGCAGGTTGACCCCTGCTGTACCTTGTGCCAGGCCATTGTAATCCACCAGGTCCCTCCCATCCACAGGACAGTTGGAGCATCCACTTCGGGGCCCCCAAAGTGTGTGGCTTGGGGCGGCCATCCTGAATCATCCTATGGACGGGACATCTCTGGCAGGGGGACTGGATCCTTGGTTTCCTCTATGAGCACTAGGCTTGTGCATACTCTCTCACTCTCTCTGTGTGGCTCAAACGACTCTTCAAACATTTAGCCAGAGTGTATCAGGTTCAACAGCAGACACTGACTATTCCATGTCCCAAAAGTTAGAGCACTCCCTTGAAATGTGGCCGATCTCTGTTCCAATCCCGTCACATGGAAGGGGAAGTTGGGAGTCTTAGGGTGCTCATTAGGATTGCCAGGTGTCCAGTTTTGAGCTTTCTTTTCGGGAAACAAATTGAGAAAATAGTAATGTCCGGTATTTTCTAAATAAGATTGTGATGTAATGTCAAGTGTGTCTGGTATTTTTGTTGAAACCATCTGGCAAACCTAGTGCTCATTCCCGGTGAGTCCTTACCTACTAGGCTAAAAATAATAAAGGAGGTCATTTTATTTCTCTTCTCCCCACCAACAGCCTCTTGCTAAATCAGAGTAGGCACTTAATTCCAAAAGAGAGTTCACAGCTGAGAACTTCTAGCAGAGATAGCACATATCTGTGTGACATGAGGATACTTGCTCAGGATACTGGCTTTTGTGAATTGTACTCTCAGAGTATCTCTACAATGCAATTACACACTGGTGTCTGGCTTGTGGTAGCAGATTCAGGTTTGCAGGCACAGACTAAGCGGCTGTAAAAATGTGATGCTCAGACTAGGTCTGCAGCCTAAGCTCTGGGATCCTCCCACCTTGTAGGTCATAGAACCTGGGCTCTGTGTCCACATTGCAATGAAACACCCCATGCCCTATAATCCTGAATCAGTGAGCACAGGAAGAGTGGTGGGTTTTAACTGTTGTGCAGTCATACTCTATGATGTCTCTCTCGCCATTCATTGTATAGGTAGCCTAGGTGTCTAACTCAGGTGCCTAAAATTAGGCAGTGTGACACTCAGCATCTCAACACATAAATTCCCTTTGTGCAAAGGAAGTGGAACATTAATAGAAAACATTACCCTTCTGATTTGGTCACATGATACTAAATGCCTCTAAAAATTGGCTTTGTACTATATTAGAAATATTTATTCTAGGAGTGCAGTTACTAACTTCTTTAACATGGCTTGCTCTTTTGGTATAGTATATCTAGTATGCCTCTTTTCTTTTTACTGTTCTAGTCGGTTATCCTAAAGAAGAAAGGTTTTCTGGGAGACCTACGGAGAGAGTCAGTGGGCTTTATGAAGTGCTTAAATCTAAATGCTCAATGGGTTTCCATGCAGGATGGGAGCAACCTCACTGGTTCTACAAGCCCGGAGCTGAGATTGGATACAAGTAAATGAAAAATTACCACTTTTGTATTGGTCTAGTGTCCTGAAATCAAAGATGATTGAATTAGGATTAATGGGAATCATATAGGATGTGTCTACACTACCCTCCTAGTTCGAACTAGGAGGGTAGTGTAGACATACCCTCAGTGCAAATGAAGCCCGGGATTTGAATTTCCCGGGCTTCATTTGCATAAGCGGGG